CTTGAGTTGAGCATCACTAATGATCGGCTGCATCTTTATCAAACACAATATCAGCATGCCTCCCCCTAGTGCCTATCTGCAAGTGGAGTCTTGTAAATTCAGTGGATCTTCAAAAAATGTTTCTTATTTGCAAACATGAGGGATTTGAAGGACTTTTCAATGTGCATCACAAAATAACCTCGAAGTTACACTGAATACAACGTCACGAAAACAAGTCATTAAAAATCTGAAAAGTCTCAAATTCAGGATCCACCCAGCTTCAGTTTAAACCCTCAGCTTAACATGCATAAAACTTTGAGCTCTGTAAAACTAAATACAGCATCAATTATTTACTTGAAGTCAGAGTCAACAGACAGCTCGACCTCCACGTAAAAAAGTAGTGCGCTGGAAACTTTGAGCCTGAGAAGCCTCCTCACCTGAGACAAACGCTAATCCAATCCAAGTCCGACAGAGAAACGTAGAGTCTGTCTTCATCTCCAGATCTCCGGTCCAGAAGAGCAGCAGTCTTCAGTCCTCAGGTTTCTAATGTGAGAGTGAGAACAACGAAGAGAAAAGGAAGAAAGAAATCAAGGCTGTTTCAAGTTTTAACTTCGCTGGAGCGAGAGAGGAGAGGTGGTTTGAATGAATGTGCGCGGATGGGGGGACAAACTCAGGTGGATGTCAGTCAGTGTGTGCGTGTGTGTGTGCGCGTGTGTGTGTGTGTGTGTCAGAGAGGAGGAGGGAGCAGAAACTGAGGAAAAGAGTCAAAACAACTCCTTCTCCCTCCTGCTTGGTTAAAGGATGCATCAGGCTCTCAATGGGATTTACAATGATTTCCCTTTCCTGCGCTCGTGACTGGAGCGCATGCACACGCGTCCATGCAGTTCATAAAACAAGCTGTGTGCGTGGTACGTGCGTGCACGTGTTCCCTCTTTACATAGCTTGGCGCCTTCATACTTCTGATGGTGGTGGAAAATATCTCATTATGAACACAAGGCATTATAGGTTGTATGGTTTTTGACACATATATATTTTTATGATCATAGAAAATATAACAATCAATACAGATAGATAGATAGATAGATAGATAGATAGATAGATAGATAGATAGCCATTCAAATATTGCAATATGATGTTTCCAACATGATATGGAGCATAAGCGAGACTGGGAAAGCATTTTATATCTGTATATTATATATATGCTAATATATCATCTGAATAATAGGGGGCATCAATTGAGATTTGTGACATCTTCTGTGTTTAATACCTTCAATAAGCATATTATACATTTTGTATGATTATAAAGGACACACGGTCACACGGTTCAGCTTCAATGATGAAAGAATTTATAATGCTCAGAAAGAGAAGCAGAATTTCTTTAGTACAAATCATTTGATATTGAGTTTATTCTCATATTTTGTGAGTGTTTAAATGCCTCCTGGAAGAAGACAGAAGATACACACACATCCAAACTTGATAAACACTTAGTGCTGAACAGAAGTGATGAAAATCAGAAGACGTCTACACCAGCTGATGCTTTCAGAAAATTATACGGGTAGGAAACGTTTTGGGCGCAGGCTTCAGATTTGTTTTCATCACGATTATTATTCTCGTCCTCTGATTTTCAAATGCCTCCAAATAGTTCGGCAGGTAATCTTAATAAAATCAGAAATTCTTCTGAATCCACCACAGGGATATGTCAGTGTCGTCACCACATGAGGCAGACAAACAACCCTGAGAGAACAGAGACACGGCCTCTGGAGGGAAATAAGAAGAATATTACCTTCGGTCAAATAGATCTAGTCTGTAACTCCTCTGACACATTTTAATGGCAGTGTAATTTGACCAGTTTATATCAAATGCTTGTTATTCATTTGAGTTAAGTGGTTCTTTTCCTATTAAGAGCACAAATTATTCTTCATATTCTACAAGCTGAACAGAGGGGCCCTGGGAGTCGCTCTATAAAAGCTTGTATTTAATCTTGCAAAGGGTCAGATGGTTCAATGACTCGGAGCAACAGCTTAACTGTGCAGAGTTCCTCCAGCCTTGTCCAAGTCCCATTCACCCCCCCCCCTCCATGCCCATGTTCATCCTCCTCAGGGAGTCTTCAGAGTGTGGATGAAAATCATGTACTAAGAGCACAGTGTGCCAACGATGAGGTGCTGTCAACCCTGTCTTATTTTACAGAGACAGATTTTGGAAATTGAAAACTCATGTACCATATACACTGGGAAATGAAAAGTCAAAAGAGGGTATGAAGTGTGGGCACTTGGGTGATCACTCTTTCTCTCTCCCGCACACAGATGCACACACATACACACACAAACACAAACACACACTTGAGATTTCTTATTTGCTTGCTTCAAATCATATCTGTAAATCACTAATTAGTGAAAACGAGGTGGAAACAATGCATGCAACCAATCCTGCAAAAACCTGTACACACACATCCACAGACATGTGTGGGGGACCTATTTATCATTGTGTGCAATTTGGTGCTGATCCAAATAGGTATCTGGACCTAGTGAATTTAAATGTGGTTTCATAAGTGGACTGTTCTATAGAGCTTAGTATACTATGTCATTTAAGACTTTGCATTGACTTCATAGCTAACCCTTTAACCGGGACCTAAGAAATGATATTTTGCCACTTGATGACTTGGATTTGGTCTCTATGAGGATTACTGGTTGTGACAAGGTCAGTGTTTACACACACACACCCACACAGATGTCAGTGGCAGGCGTGTGTGTTTCATTAATTAAGAGTATTTTGCATCTATAAATCCAGTCCAGTCAGATGTGTGTTGGAGTCACTTTAGAACCAGTTTGCCTATTCTAGCCAGTGCAATCAATCCCAGGCAGCTCTGCTTTCTAGCACCAGCAGTGCACTGTAAAATCAATAGAATTCTGTATCTGGAAATCCATTACAACAATAACAACAATGGCTGACTCCAGACTCTCTGCTGACTGTGCCTTCACTGTGCTGAAAACCCCCATCAAGCAGCTGTCGATAAGACAACTGCGAAACAAATATTTTTCTCTCAGTATGACTGTGTTGTTATTCTGTGATTTCTGAGCAACGGAAGAGCTAACATCAGCAGTGTGCGGAATAACAGGGGTCAAAAGAACATTTTGTGTTTTGTGTGGAAATGCGTATCCCTTCAGATCTCTTACAGCAATGCACCTCTGTGACCTCAACACACAATGCTGTGATTGAATGGTTGTAATTAAAATGTTCCCCTGGTCCGAGCCCTGCAGTGCCCTCGAAAATAAACGCACTCAATCTTGCTGATAGCCTAACGAAGCTTTGTCCTGAGAGTAACCAAATCTCATTATGAATGTAAAAACCAATAAGGTCAAAAACGCAATAAAAACACCTGAGTGTCCAGTGTAATAATAATCTGCACACATAAGCATTCAGGCAACATAAAAAACGATAACTTGTCATGCAGGACAGCATGATGGCCCCTAATGCGCCAGATGAAAAGGGTTGAGTTTATAATCCTACTGGCTCCTGAGAGACAGCTGAGGACTCAAGGACCCGTCCTTGAAGTGCCAGCACTCTGTCCGGCCCATCCTCAGGTCAGGAAACACATTACAGATCCGCGGGTACGATCATAGGAAGGATGTGGTGCACGCATGTAGCCTGCTGTTCACTGCCCAAGTTCACACCCATGGGCCTGTGTGCTGCGAAGCCTTCATGCCAAGCAACTTTGAAGTGGATGTCTCTGTTCAAGTGGACCTTTTTTCTGTTTTGTTTTGATAGTTGCGGCCAAAATTTCTCTTCAGTTGTAGGTCATGTCAGCTTTCAATTATGAAGGAGCAGCACAGCAGCATGTACATTTTTTACCAACTAATTACCCATGAAGCGAATGCATTAAGTGGTAGGGGGCTGGTCGATGAATCCTTGCAGCTCCAAGCAAATGTATGAGTTGGAGTTCTTTCATTTAAACACAACTTTTGTTCTAATGCTAACTTTACTCTGGCTTAAATGGCCACTTTATAAAGTTGATACAGCAAACATTAAAAATGTTATGGTCATGGGATGAACCCCTTTAGATGTATCAACTAATTCTCGAGGAGATCCCAGAACGTGTTAGTAAATAGTTGAGTATTTACACTTTAAGTACATATGGAGAAATGTTATTTATTACCTCAGACAGGAGGTTGTGCTTTCCCCTGTCTGTTGGTTCATTAGTTATTAGTTATTTTGTTATTTACAGAACTAATATCTATAGGTTTGAACATTTTGGTGCAGTTTGATTGGAGTGGAGGAGGGGGACTGTTGGACCTTGGCAGAGGTTGCACGCTATACAGTTCAAAATTGACCACTGGACACTGAGGAGGTTTTTTAGCACAATATAGTTGGGTTAAGCAGAGAGGATTATGTATTTGGAGATAATTGTTTTACTACTAAAGCTCTGTTCAATTCAGGAGCTTGAGTTAGTTCTGGTCTCGACCAGTGGAAGTAGTGTGTGATATTTGAGCTGTCGGTGCACCCATACCCATGTAGCCGCTGTGCAGGAAAAGCATGGGTCCCCTCTGGTGCAGTTCATTGTGCCACTTTTCCAGTCAGCAGAGGAGGCAACAGCATCCGGCTCCGGCGTGCCCCTGAGGCCCATCCCGGCAGTCCAGAGCAGTCACCACTGTCACTCTGTTTATCTGACCTTTCACCTGACAGCAGGAAACAGGACGGCAGTGCTCTCGTGTGTTTGCGAAGATAACCGAGAGCCCGCCTATTCTCGCTGTTTGGAGTGTCAGAGATTGCCTGTGTGTTCAAACGCTCCAGTCCAGGTGCAGGGGAGTCAACCCTCTGCCTGTCGCTCTTGCCGAATGGCTGTGGATTCCCATCAAGTGTTGCGTTCTCAGTGGTGTACTCTGCTTTGATGATGCTTAATAACATCCTTGATTATTTCAAGTGAGGTCATTAGAGTGTGCAGTGTCACAGCTGCAGAAAAAGAATCGGAGACAGTGTTTATTTAAGAAAGAAAAAGTGATCCGGTTTATTATTTGTATCAGCACTTTTTTTTTTTTTACAATAACTGTTATGGGTCTTTGATCTTGTACATCATCGAGCATCTAACTGACATGACAACAATGCAAAATGTACTGTATGGACTGAATCCTGTCGCTCTCTCAGCCACTATAACTAATAAACAATCAAGTTCATGATACCACGCATTCTAGGCACATGTAATGTATATAAATGAATGTGCAATGACGGATCAACAGAAGCTCAATCAGCATAAGAACTCATAAAGTGCTATAAAGTTACATCAAGAAACATCTCAAATAAAAACACACTGAATTTTCATTTCATACTAATGTATAAATCAGGTTAAACTATTTTAATCAAACAGAATCTCAAAGTAAAATTCAATATGATTCTCTTATGATTTAACTCAAAGCTTTAAAAGAAACATTAGAAGTGAGCCGACAGACAGAAATAATCATCAAATATACATCTATAGCTGATCATTGGTTGAACAGTACTGAAATATAATTAGATGCATCTCAGCTTCACTACATTCAACCCAAATGATGGGGTGCTTTAATGTGTTTCTGCTGACCGCTCCGACCTTCTGGATGAACCTCTTTAGAATGACTACAGTAGAATGGAATTTTGTTTAAGTGGAGATTTTCATAACATTTCAAGGTCTTTAAGTTTTTTTTTGGATAGGAAATAGAAGAATCTGGTAATAACCAGTCATAACAGCAAGTACAATCTTCTTGGCACCGTAATGCAAACTATGGCAATAATGTCCTCAAATCACTGAGGGAGAACAGGCTTTAGTGAATTGACAGCTCTTACAAATTAAAAAGCTTGTGGTGAAATGATTGCGGCCATGTTAGCCGGACAGCGCAAGAGGCGGGTAGTGGAGGAGTTTGATAGGCTGAGGTTCCTGACTGCTGCCACTGATGCACGGGCTGAAGAAGGGGAACACTTTGCCCCTCGGCCCATTGGTGAACGAGTAGAGCAGACTCATATCGTCTGCATTGTAGAAGGACACCCTCCTCTCCTCGCAGTCCAAGAAAACACCGAGCCTCTGAGGGGACGACCCGAGCTGCAGCCTGGTCCAGGGCTGGGTGCCGGCGGAGTACTGGTTCCTGTTACGCAACCGCAGAGTCCAGTAGCCGCTTTCTGGACACAGCTTGATCCGCGAGTGTCTGTCCACAGCCTCCGAGGCCACGCCCAGGTCCCATTTGGATTTGGAGCCCACTTCTACCTCCCAGTAGTGGCGCCCTGAGTGGAAGCCCTGGGCAGCAAGAATATTAACACACTGGAGGAAGCGCTTGCTGTTGTCAGAGTGCCATGTCATGCCGTCACATTCGACCGCCACGGTTTTATCCCTGGAGACTCTGACGCTCGGGTGCGCCGTGTCCACATCAAACATCAGTGGGGACGGACCTTTGGGATGAAACAATTCATTAAACGACAATAGCGATGATTTTCTTATCACTGGAACAATGGTGTCATTACTGTCATTCTGTTAGCACTTTAACATCTTTATGTAATTTTTCCTTAATTACTCCCCTTCATGAGGCAGAACTGGTTCTCGGCTAAAATCTTTTCCCTGTGAAGCACATTAGAGGGGAAATTACCTGGCTTCAATGACTTGAATATCTTTCTCCATGTGATGTACTGTAAGGGGGCCATGTATTTGTTGCTGAAAGTGTTTGTATCGAACTCTGGGGCAGCATCCACCTGTGCACATGGTCTGTGGGGAAAAAACATACTTTTCAAACCATTTATTCTCTGCACAAAGGGAGTTAGAAATCAAATAAGCACATGGCAGGTAGAAAGTGCCGAAGGCAATCAGTCATAACACTAAAATGAACACTTACCTTAGCTTTGGGAGCTACAGCAGGAAATGAAAGAAAAATTGTGTTGAAAAAAGGATTGTTTCAAAGAAATCAAATTACATGACAGATTTAGATATGTTGAATTCATGGCTCGGCAGCTACTTTGAGAAAAACAAACTTTCATACTTATTTAGACTTTTTGTCCTAACTAAGGCCCTCACCTCGGTCAGTACGATGTTTTCAGTGGAAGCACTAGCCTGCTGCAGCACTCTCATGTTCTCCTCCAGCTCCCTCACGGTCAGTTTGACAGCCTCCAGGTGGCGCTGGACCTTTTCCAGCTCATCCTCCTGCTCCCTCCTCAACTGCTCCAGCATACACGACTCCTCATCGTCCAGTATCTGATGGAGAGCTCTGAATTCCGCTTTGACACGGACCTGCAGATCTGCTCCAAATCTCTGAAGGGAGGATTCAGTGATGTTAAAGCAAATAATTTTTTGTGCAGTGCTGTAATTTTTCCACAACCGCTTAGAAACTGCAAGGAGTTAGATAAGGTGCCAAGTGTTTTTTTTTTTTTTTTTTTTTTTTACAAATCAGTGCGTGCATCCTCTCACTATCCACTTCAAATCTGTTTTGTTTGTTCGCAAGGAGGGTTCCTAATCTTAACAGCAGGGACTGACAATAAATCATAAACTCTGCAACAGTGAGGCTGCATTAATGCCGATTTACTGACCATGTGCGATGCCTGTGTTATGTTCCTAATGAAACAGGCTCTGTAAATGTTAGTTCCCTCCGACTACTCATATAAACATTTACTCATAAACTGCTTAAATTAAGACATTTAATATTGTCGTACAGACATTAACAACATAAAGATGATGTTTTATTTAAAATCAAATAAACCCATACTGGAAAATGGTGGATGACTAAATGTTATTGTATTTAAGCATATATTAACAGGGACTGTTGCAGAAACAGAGTATCTTGTATACATCAGCATTAAAAACAATAGAAAACCACCAGCAAGGCAGAATGGGAATATAATCAATTAATAATATTAAGATTTGAATACTGTTTTCTTTGCATTTATTTGGGAATAACCATGGTTATAATAAAAGCAGGAGGCTTCATTCAGGCGCTAGAGAAACTATGAATAAGATTGATGCTCCATCACGGAGAGGGAGTGAGGAGGGTTCGGTTTTAGAAACACCCAATTACTCCCACTTGAGAATACTTTTCTAAATAGAAACTAACAAGAAACAGATTGCAGCAAAGACATCAAAATGTTGAACAACGAGAGGAAGGATTTCCTGTCCATCATCTCATCACAGCGAGCACAGATAAACTCAAGCTCTTCATCATCCATCTGCCTTAAATAAATTAGCTATGGTTTTCTTTTGGTCCCCTCTCCTTGTACAATTTCATGTTTGAAAAATTGTGGGTGGTTTAACGCAACGGGTTTTTCTCCGAATGCAAATTTGACAGAATCATTATGATGTATGGATTTCCTTTGCATAACTGACACTAAAAGAGTCAAAGGTTAGAAAGGTATTCATGCACACAAGCACAAAACCAATATGTTTTACATATCAAAGCTCAAACTGTGACTTTCCACATCTGCAAACACAACTAAACATGCACAACGACGTATTGCAAACAGACATTAGACAGGAACATGTGCGTTCTTATCTGTTAAGTGCTGCCATCCCTCCAGTCTCCCTCCCGGAGGAGTGTTGTACCTTTATTGTTTCCATCTTGTCTCTTTCTCTGTGAATGCTGTTAATGTAGTCCTCCCTCCGCAAGCGGTGGCTCTCCAACGTCTCTTTCAGCTGTTTCTAGACAAGAATTATGTAAAAACAAATCAAACAATGGCAGATAAAATAAATAAATAATAAATATCAGTCAATAACTATAAAACAATGTAGTGTACATAACTATATATATAAAAATATGATAATACCTTAACAGAGATGTGTATATTGTTGTTGTGTTGAAAAGCAGAGGGGGGAGAGAGAAAGAGAGAGCAAGATAATGAGAGAGAGAGAGAGACAAAGAGACAGATAAGGAGGGGCTGAGTGAATCTATGCTCGCAACAGCACATTTTAATTTGGTTCATTATGATTATTATATTGGACCATCTAGGCAATTGAGGGAAACACTGCACTGCACTCTACAGACTGCAACTGAACAACAAGCAGCTCCAACTTTTTAGGGCCTGCTTGTCAATGCAGGACACCAAACAGTGAGTTTATTACTAAAATGTTGTGTAAAATTTTATTTGTGGGTTATTGTTTGTTTTTTGGATCGACCTGCACATAACAAGCGATGTTTTTGCTGGACAATGGGCACTGCAATATGTGTGTGGAAAAAATGATCAAGTTACACCATTGGCCGGCCAACCAAACTTTGATTTCTGATTTTACTATTTAAAAAAATGAATTGGCCCTAACAGTTTCTAAAATATTACCTGGAGGAGCTATATTTGTGAAGGAAAATGTCTGAATAGGCTGAACCGCACATTCAACGCACTTTAACCAGCCCCCACCCTCATAAAAAGTCTGTGTAATGTAGCCGAAGTGCAAACAGAAAATTACGTAATTTATATTTTACTTAGTGTCATACTGTCCCATAACATATACTATATGGTCCAGCCATGTGCTAAGTATTGACCTGGTCTTGTTTGTCAGAGCTTTTCCAAAAATCATAATCATAACCAAAAACCATAACCAAACAGGGAACAGTAGCCAATCAGAGGTAGGGGCTAATTAGGAGAGATATGGTGAACTTTAAAACAAATAACAACCCACTGAGGAAAAGGAGGACGAAACACCTGCCAGAAGAAAGTTCTGCATGAAATGGAGATTTGGCGATAACATAGTTGTGCAAGGTTGTCCAGTGATGAACAGTGATGCGAAGGCCGTAGTGAAGAGTATGCCAAAATCCAGTGACTACAGGAAGCAACTGTGTCCAACCAAGAAATGGCCTAACGCTGAAAAAATTGTTATTATCGATATATCTTGTTAATTATTAAACTTTCATGGTGCTTGTAAGTGGATTCTATTACCTTTGATCAGAGCCAGGCCAGGAGTTCCCTGTCTTTATGCTAAGCTAAGCAGCTGCTGGTTTCAGCCATGCATATAGTGAATGGTAATACATGAGTTTTATCAGTTTCACTCTGAAAATAACTGAGAGAGCACATTTCTGAAAACATCAAACTAATCCTTAAAAGAATAACTTTAAAGTTGAATAATGACTTATCTGTACATTTTGTAAACAACAGGTAAACCTAGCAAGAATTACTAGAATTACTAATGTGGGCGTGTCGAGTGAACTTTGTCCTGAGCAATTCAAGCGAGATATGTTTTGAGATAAGGGAAAAGGTATTTGTTTAAGATTACCACTCTCCAGGTGACCAAGAATAAAGTGGTGGACGGGTGCCAGCCGGATGATTCCGGTTTAGATGGGTGAACTCACCTCCAGGTTCTGTATGTAGGAGTGCGAGGTGGTGGCCCTGACCTTCTCCACCATGGCAGTGACCAGGTAGTTGGTCTGAAACTGCCTGCAGGTGAACACCTTGCGGCACTGCGGGCAGGTCACAGGCCCCTGGGTTCCCCTCCAGTACCTGGAGATGCAGGGTCTGCAGAAGTGGTGCATGCAGTCCAGCATGACGGGGTCACGGAACAAGTCGCAGCATATTGCACAGGTCAGATCCTCTCTCAGGCTGCCTTTGGTGGAAGGAGGAACAGCAGGAGGCGCAGCAGAAGCAGCAGTGGCCATGATGAGGGCTCCTTCCCTCTGCAGTGAGTCCAAACTGAGGAAATGAAAGCAAAAGCCTGGAGGAGGAGAGAAACACACAGTTGACACTTCACTACTTTACTTCACTACTGTAACATGAGCTGAACCACTGTGTGAGTCTGGATCCTACAGAGCAGCAGCCTCTGAGACAGACACAAAACAACAACAACAACAACAACAACAACAACAACAACAACAACAACAACAACAACAACAACAGCTCTCCACCCAAACCCTCGAGTCAAGTGTCACCAGCAGTTGAGAAGCAGGTGATCCATCATGGGACAGTGTTAGCTCGCTGTTTGTACAGGAGATGGTTTGTTTGCGACGTACAACAGCCTGTAAACAACCTTTTCAAAAACAGTAAACAAGCCAAAGTAAAAGGTAAACACCGAGACAACATTCAGCGCTAAGTTACCGCTTTAACAAACTCACGCTTCGTCAGTATTTCGGAGAGACGTCTCTCAGAGCCGGACTCTGCTCCTCCGGGCTGCTGTTGGGAACAACACGTACACGCGCACTGCGCATGCGTCCACCACAGCCCGCTCCTCTGATTGGTCAACGCGTCCCACAGCAAACAGCCGGATGTGCGATGAGAAAGACACTTTCATTATTATTATGAGATCATTTTCAAACGTGCAAACAATATGGAGCTAAAATCAGATGCTGAACAATAAATAGTAAAACATGATCATATGAATGTTAAAACTAAGCAGGTGCATCTATATACATACATGATAAGCAAGAGAAAAGATGGATATGAGACAAAAATATTGTATTACATAAGAGAGAAGGAAAGAAAACATGAAAGAAATCAAAACAGAAATACATAAATCATGAGTAAATAAAATTAATCATTTAATTAAAAAGACTAGGGCTTTTTTCTGAACCATTCTGCTATAAAGTTGAGTTATGTCCATTGCATTTTTCTTTTACATTAAATCTTATTTAAGTCTCACAGCAAACAGCAGGGTGATGAAGACACTTTTCAAACGTGCAAACAATGTGGCACCTAAATCAGATACTGAATAATAGATATATTTAATTAGTAAATAAAAGCTTTACAAAAAACAACCAGTACATCTATATTCATAAATGATAAGCAAGAGAAAAGGCAATGGAAGAAATCATAAATCAACGAAATAAATCATTATAAAGTTAAATTAAAACGACTACAACTGTGAAACACATTCAATCTATAGGTTTAACTCTCAGGTTTATAGGTTTGTGAACATAAGATTTCCCAAATACCAGAACGATATTAACCAGAACGTCATCTTTGCAATTATCCATGACGAGGCCATAAATTATGTCCTTTTGGGAAACTGATGCAAAAACATTTCCTACTTCAATGCACTTATCTTCTGTTTCATTTTGGGAAGGTCCTGCATTGAAACACATAATCTGCATCTCACAATATTATAATTCTGCAGAGCAACCTCAATGGCTTTGTGATTGGGCATTTTTCAATTGACTTAATTACATCTTAACACAAGCAGCCCAGCAGCCAGGATTTTGGGACTGGCAGGACTCCACTTCAATAAATATGGTTAACATTTAACAGAGAGTCACGACTTTAAGTCTCAAACCCTCAAAAGACTGAAAAATACATTTCCCATCATCAGATCTCCAGGTGCCCATCTTACAAACACACAGTTATTTGTAACTCACACTTTCTACAGCAAGCTGAGAGAGAAAAAAATGTTATTTATTTTTTCATTTATTATTTAAGATAATCCACCCCCATGGACTGATTCTTGCTGACAACTGATGATTTCAAGTTGTTACAACCCAACTTGTTTAGCAGAAACACTATTAAGCACCACAGGAAAACTATTTAACATTCAAGTTCATTTAATTGAACTCCTGTTTATATTTACATACAAATGGACATCAGAGGCTTGATGGGAGACAGAGGATTACGCCCTAGATCAATTTTTACTTTCCCAGATACATTGACCTGAGTAGAATAAAGGAAAAGCACAGCAGGAGGTATAATTGGAGCATCACACGCAAAATAATCCGATTTGCACTCTTCACAGACTCGCCATCCTTTCAACTCAATGTTTTTAATCGTTAAAGGCTTGTCTTTGAATAGACAGCAGTCTCTACCTGTCAAGTTTGGCCTCATCTGAGCAACACTGAGAGAGAAAGGGAAATGGCGGAGGTGTCATTGGGATGTGTGTGTTCGTGCGTCCTCCTCTCCCACATTCAATAATTCACACAGCCCACAAGAGACAGGCACAACAACCCCAGTGTACACACACCGTCTCTGATCATGTATAGGATTAGTGGCACCAGTGCTCTCAGAGGAGCTGGACTGAGGCAGTGAACAGATTGAGAACAGTGGACTGTTCAAACAGGATCCCCAGCCATATGGAGGGGAGTCACAGCTCACTCAATATAGGTGCATGCAGATATGAGCCCAGGTAAACTGATAATGCTGCTTTGGGACCTGTTGCAGATTTGTTGTTTGTGGCCATGACAGAAATCCTTTACCAGTGATGCATGTGGACTGACAAACTTGACTGCAGAGTGACCCAGTGCGTGTGGGGGGGAAGGAGAACAGCCCTCATAATTGAAAGAATAAATTGAGGCGGAGGAGCAGCCTGCCCTAATCAATAAGTTGAATCTCTGTTGTTGAGTCAATCTCCAATCATTGAATTATTGAATACCACAAAGAGCATTGGAGAATCTCGTGTTGCTCCTTCAACAATAAATCTCAGCTGGGACGATGAGAGCCGACTCTTAGCAGCTCCAGGGAAATATAGAAACAACGCTCAGGAGAAAACACCTCTGGTGATCCTCACTCGCAGAAGGTAGGGATGGTTTTCAACTCGGCTTATGCTCCTTTATCTACTTTGTCTTCTTTCAAGTGGCATCTGTTTTCAAGTCCTTTCCTAAATTCTTTAATGACATTCTTAATTTGTCTCTGTGCCACAGGTCTGATAAGCTGAACTCTTTTCAAACAGAGTCATGGGAGCTGCAAGTATGTGACTCAGTTCCATCACTCTAAATCCAAGTTATTTCAAGATAAACGTTTTCAAGGTGGGTTGAGTTTTATTTTAATTTCAAGCATAGAAAATGTTCTTCACTGTAAATTCAATATATTGCAGATGTACATATATATACACAAGTTTATCAACATACAAAAACAGCCATGAGACGTAACCTGAAGACTCCATCTTTTCATACACTGCTCCAAGCATTTCCATGAAAAGAAAGTCGGCACAAGCCAGTCAACAGTAAAACCTCATGTGTTTAATGTCATTTAGGTAAAAGATTCTCTCTGAATACTAAAATGTTGATTGAAATCCATACAATTCAACAACAGTTCTTCTTTCATCATCTTGGCACTAAAATACTGCCTTTGCACGTGTCTATTGCTCCAACTAAAAATAACAATATGCACTCAGCAGAAACTTAAATCTCTTTTAGGAAGTCATGGGAGCTCACAAAAATGAGCTTGTGTGAGGGATTTGTGTGTTCATTGTCTCTGAGGCATATCAGCTAAATCTGACAGTAGGTTTTATGCGTTAACCAACAATTGCATGTTGCACAACAATGTGAAATTGTGTCACATGCAGCACAGTGTTGTGCCAGCCCACTCTTTATCTGATTGCAGAAATTAGATCAGTTGAGACAGTGAAATGATGGAGCCTGGAATAAAGCAATATGATGATGTGTTGTTTACAACCCATGATTGTTCCAAAGTTCATTTGCAATTGTTCTCATAAAGAAAAGGGGAGAAATAACAGGGAAGAAGCCTTCAAGGAAGGATAAACATAAACACATATCAAAATATAAAATGTAATAAACTTAGTGACGTGTTGAGCTACTCAAACTGCATTTTTTACGTGTTTCTTTGCTGAATAATGGAGTGGAATAGAGATAACACACATGCAGAACAAAAATGTGGATCCATAGAGCGCATCCATTGCGCACATCTCCCACGGACAGACCCTGCCTGGCGCTGCTGGTGTAGACGCTCACAGACTCACACTGAGTCGTACAGACCCGCAGCCTCAGGAACGCACGGTCGAGCCACAAGATGCGCACTGTGTGCTGCCACAGCTTGGGAGGAGCTTCGGGATTTTCCCACCTCAATGTCTCACGCCAGTCTCGACTGAAGACGCGCATGCGAAAGGAGATATAGAGGGGAAAAGGTGAGTCCATTAATATGTAGATTTCGACTTTAAGTGCTTATTGCGAGATTAGTTTGATGGCAGAAATGCTTAAAGGTATTAATGTCTCTGTTCCTCTGTGACAGTGTAACCTGTAGTTACTGAAACTACATGTGCGTAATTTGGATACGAGGAAAAACCATTTGAAAAGGATCATGGAAAACATTATTTGCCACAGCAGAGTGTTGGCGTTGTTTGCGCACCTGTCTGCGCGGCTGAATAAGCTTTGATGGCTCAAGTGGAGATATTGATTGCGCACTTTTTAGTGAGTTACACAAATGGCGACAAATTACGCACGAACGAAGCATCAATGAGCGTTTGATTGGGAGTGAGGCAGCTCATCATAATCTGACGACGGTGCATGGAGATGATTAGAATCCGGTTTTAGCTTCTTTCTGCTCCAGCAGGTGTATTCTTCATATCACACAAGCCCGCCTCAAGTGCAGGATTACCATCTCTGATCAGAGGAACCGGGCGCCTTCACAAATTACTGATCCTTTGTAAAGTGCACATGACGCCTGCAGTCTGTTGGTAAATCCATGCAGCGGGTCCGTGCGTGGCTGTGCGTTCTCTGGTGACAGGGGGTTACAGGCAGCCTGTACATGTTCACGCTTTTTACTTTATTGGCAGTGTAATAATGTTTGTATGAGCTCGTTTTTAAGGGCTCCTGGTGTGTGTGTTTGTGTGTGTGTGTGTGAGTGTGTGTTTGTTTGTGTGTGTGTGTGTGAGTGTGTGTGTGTGTGTGTGTTGTGTACTTAAATCTTAAGGAACCAAAAGCCTTAATTAATGTTTTTAATTCCACAGACACAAACACAGCATGAATACATACATACATATGCACACTACGCACACACATATACACTACATACCACACACATATACTCCACACGCGAGCGCGCGCGCACACACACACACACACACACACACAAACATATACACCACACGTACACTTACACGCACGCATGCACACTTGTCGCCTCGACTATTTGTTGCCTGAATCCAGTTACTGATGCATACAAGAAAATAAAGCAACACAATCATGCCACAAAACAGCATTTACTCTCCATTTTATTGATAACTTCAATATTTTTTTCCATCAGCTTTCATTATAACACATTTTTGAAAAAAAGCAATTGCAGCAGTAAACTGCAGTCAGTTCAGAGATCTGCAGAGAAACCGTCTACAGGAACAGACCCAGGCCGACAAAGTGTGTCTGTCACCAAAGCAATGGCCTCTCATTAAATGTTCTCCTGTTTGTGTCAAAACAGAAGGACTTGAGTGTTAGCCGCAAAAATATCCAAATTGGATTTTGGGCCATAGGCACACAAAGTAGCTACAACAGTGTCCCATTTATATTCCTCTAACTCGTCCACCTTCATCATCAAATTAGATTCTGGATTTGTTGAAAAGCCATTTGCTGGGTCTAATATCATTAAATGTAATTAGCATTAATCTGCTCTGTTAGAATCTCAACTATTATTCAAAGGTCAACTTTGACATTAAGTTTTTGTATGTGTGACAAGACACTCTATATTCTTCAAGAGCACTCAGCCTTGCACAGGTAAATTGACAGGAGAGACAAGATAATGAGTAAAAGAAACTATACATGGAGAAAATGACTTTTCAAAAATAGACATTGTTGTGTAACATGGGCCAGTGCCGGTCTCTCTCTCTCTCTCTGTCAGAAATAAGGCTTACCTCACAATATTCCATTTATGAAATGGCTGCGTGCATGTGTGAGCAGTCTACAGCTCTAATGATGAATTTTTGAACTGACTCACTCCCCCCAGCCTTTGTCATGGCACAGGTGTTCATATTTCTTGAGAGCGCTGCTCTCGGCCGCCAAATGAATGCATGTACCTCAGCCCCAGGCGTGCTATATTAATATGAATATCTCAAGGTTAGAAATATGGTCTGGAACAAGTGTATAGAGCAAAAGCTGTTTTTTTATATTGATTATCATCTAACTGAAATGTATATTCCATTTTCTTCATTTCTTCCTTAATGCCATCTTGTGCGATTGTTGTAATTACATAGAGAACTCTCTTCTCTTCCAAACAGCACTGTGTCATTGCTCTCAAGTTAATTACTACATGACTTTAATAACAGTGTGTCCTTTACAATGCAAACTGCCCTTTTTCAGATGATATGAGGAGAATAATGAAATAGTTGTGTATCACTTCTGTTTAATCCGGTTTCATTAGAAGTTGGATTTAGTCAAAGCTCTTGCAGTTCATTTAGTGCTTGTGAGGGGAAAAAGACCCTGAAAATAAACAATATGGTTTTAGGTACTATTCCAATATTGTCTAGTTAGTTTTGAATGATGGAGGATAATGTAAGAGAAGGTTGTACATTAAATAAAAACCCTGAGCAGGGTCAACCACCAGAGAGCCCCAGGGTTTAGTAAAGTATTTGTGCAAACACAGTTAATCTTTGGCAATGGGAAGCCAGTGAGAGATTGTGTCCCTCATGACATGAACTGCACTCATAACTCGGACTGGTTGCTTTTGATACATATTTAGATGTGGGCGGATCATGAAGCACATGATTTGCTCTTCTGGTGAAGACAAGCGACAGATGGCAGCGACATGACAATGCAGATCGGGGGTGAAAATAAGGGTTCCGTTTGGCAGGGGTCCTTCTGTGTGAAGTTTGCATTTTCTACCTGTGTCTCTGTGGGTTTTTCTCCTGGTGCTCGGACTTCCTTTCTCGATCCAAACACGATTGGTGTTAGGGAGAACCTAAATTGACTATAAATTGATTGTAGGTGTGAATGTGAGTGTGAATGGTTGTTTATCTCTGTATGTCGGCCTTGCGATACACTGCTGACCTGTCCAGGGTGTACCCTGCTTCTCGCAAAATGTCCGCTGAGATTGGCTACAGCACCCCCTGCGACACTCAAAAAGTACAAGTGGTATAGATAAATAAAAATAAATAAATAAACAGCTTCAAACTTTTATTATTTTTCAGAATGACTACCATTTCTTGTATGAACAATATTCTTCCTGGTCTGTCTCAAACAGTGATTTTATTTCATGTGTTCTCTCTTCAGGAGCCAGCACGGCCTCGACCTGGCATCTTCCACTAAAATGAGTCCCCAAGACTCATCCAACAACACAGAGGATGAAGGAGAAGCTGGTAGTGATGCCTTTATTCTGTTTAACGACAGCATGGGTTTACACCCACCTGGTTTCCACAGTGACATCACCAAGCACCTTGGAGTTCAGATCACGTTGATAATGGCATACTCCCTCATCATTCTGCTGGGGCTGCTGGGCAACTCTCTCGTCATCTACATGATCATTCGCTACAGAACCATGCGAACAGTGACCAACTTCTTCATCGCCAACCTGGCCCTGGCCGACTTGTTAGTGGACACTCTGTGCTTGCCCTTCACTCTGGTCTACACTCTGTTAGATGAGTGGAAGTTTGGGGCCGTGCTGTGCCACATGGTACCCTTTGCCCAGGCCCTGAGTGTGCATGTCTCCATCCTTACGATGACCGTCATCGCTCTGGAACGTTACCGCTGTATCGTTTTCCACCTCGGTCGACGCCTCACGTGGAACTCCAGCTTCCTCATCATGGCGATCACCTGGACTACGTCTGCCATCCTGGCAGCGCCCTTGGCCATCTTCAGAGAGTACCGCAACGAAGAGATACCTTCCATCAACCTGCGCATCGATGTCTGCTCGGAGAAGTGGCCCCACGAGACCAGCAGGGGTGGAGTCATCTACAGCCTCTCGGTGCTGCTCCTGCAGTACATTATTCCTTTAGCCATCATTAGCTATGCCTACATCTGCATCTGGGTCAAGCTGAAGAATCACATCAGCCCATCCAGCCGCAACGACAGCATCAACCGCCGCAAAAAGACCACCAAGATGTTGGCGCTTGTAGTGGTGGTGTTTGCTTTCTGCTGGCTGCCGTTCCATGTGTTCCAGCTGGCCAGCGATCTGGACCTGGTGCTTCGGTTTAAGGAGTACAAACTGATATACACGGTGTTCCATATCGTGGCAATGTGTTCAACTTTTACCAACCCTCTACTGTACGGGTGGATGAATAAAAACTACCGGAATGGCTTCCTCATGGTCTTTCGCTGTGAGGATAAGCCAGAGTCTTTCCACCCCGAGGGCTCACTAAGGACCCGCTCCATACGAGGCCTGACTCTCAATGGTCGTAATGGTGGGCACCCTCCCACCGCTGTATGAGTTTAACATAACTTATTTTTTTTAAAGCCAGTAGGATATGATTGAACACACTGAACACACCTCTCCTTTGTGGTGCATGTGGTTCAGAAGTAACATTTTGACTTGAATTGATCCTGAGTATCCTTGTCACTGAAGAGGGCTCAAAGCTTTGTGTGTAAATCTCGTTATGTAAGACTATTGTTTACTTTGTGAGTGGTACTTGTGAAAATACATTTGTTGAACCTGTTCAAATATATGTGGAAGATGTTTGCTAAGGTGTTAAGTAACTTGGTACAATGTAAAATGTGTTCTGTTGGTTGCTCGTGTCCAATTTATTATGCTCAGCTGCATACCCTGCGTAAGCTGAGGCTATTGATGTTTCATATTTCACACTTTTTTTGTCAGCTGCTCAAAACATTTGGATGAATTTAAATTGAATTAATGAATCCATTTTGGATTAACTGCCGATGTGCAATATTTAATCCTCATCCAAGTTACCAGTGGCTGACACTGCTGATTTTTCTCGCCAACCAGGAAGTTAATTGTGTTCACAACCAGCTGCTCCTGATCAGACGGAGCAGTGGGAGTCTCTGTACAGATAAATGGGATTGGAAGCTGCTGAACCGTGCGAAGCGACAGCAACAAGTTCTTGATGTCTTTAATAGTGAATGGGGGGTGGCTGCTTTGAGGGTATGTAAAAAAAAAAAGAGGGGACTTGGAAGAAGTGAAAACCTGTTCTGGATTTATTTCACCCATAAAGTGTCCTTTGTTCGTGGTCTTTGAATGAGAAAACAAATGACCATTCATTTGACGTTCAGGCATTAAGAAGCTCTGTTCCGTGCCTCCATGTGAAATAAACAGACATAGGCTTCAAATGAAGTCAGATTGTGGCATTAAAGCATTTTACAAAAAGGTGTGAACCACTTACAGCCTTTACTAACACTACTCAAAACTCTTGGGGGTAGTTAGTGCATGTGCTGCGGTGCATGTAGCCTGCAGACTGAAGGTAATGTACACTCAAAAAATGCAGTGAATTGATATGTATTTCAACTACATATTACATTTCCATGTATCTTTATAGTATCAATAAAAAGGGTCATATTTAAAAAATAGCGCTGTGATTAAATTAAATTAAACTTACACATAAATATATACATTAAACACACAACTTTCACTTTTCACTCTGAAGTGATTTGATTTATTTACACTAATTCAACATGACAGAAAACACGTCATTAAATGAGACCCTTTACATTGAAATTATGTAATAAAGGTACATGGAAATTTAATATTTAAGCGAAAACACATAAAGTCACAGTTTTAGGGAGAATTATTTTTGTTGAGTGAAAAATAATGTGACAGCTGTAAAATTCTATAGATTGTCTAAATCGAGGAAAAATAGATCATAGCATTTTTTCTACTTCACATAAACTTTCAGCCAACATCCAATAAATGATTTAATGAAGCAGACAAATGTTGCCTGCATGTGCTGTGTGATTCATTTTTCAACAGAGAAAATAAATAGAAAAATATTGCATTGCTGGTTTCTTCTCGACACCCACATTATTGATTTCACGGCTTAGCCTATATTCCCCTGTGTGCTTTGGATTATAATAAAAACTGCAAGCCTTTTATTGGGACCATACCAGCAGACCACAACATTAAGTTTGGACCCATTAGGCATTACGGCTGATGTGTGAAGATTGTTGCTGCAGACAAGAGATGGTTTCAGGGCTGATTTAGTTGTGCAGGATAAATGTTCCATCTGTTTTCCACCACATTGTGCTTAAGGGGTGCATGTCCAAAAATAGCAAGGCGAGGGCAGATTAGCCATGATTATGCTAATGTTGTGAAGGGAAATATTAGGTTTCCTGGGTGATGTTCTTTTGTTGGAGCCTTACAGATGCAGTCATTATTTGTTTCTACATTAAAAGACATTCGATCCAAAGTGCATGAAGTGAACTCTTTGGAGAACAGCTGCTCTGATGGACACTGTGTGGCATTTATACAGGCGTGTGGCGCCCCCTAGTGTTCGAACTGAACCTTACAGCTGCACCACATACCGGAAGTGTGGTGCAGCGTGACCTTCCCTCTACTTCCAGCCTCCTGAGCCTCGGTGTGATAGGACTTGTGGCCGGGCAGCACGGCGAGCTTCGTCCCGGCAGCAGTGAGACATGCTGACACGTATGTCCTGAACGTCGATGTCCCCACACAGGTAACTAACTGCCTCTGCCGCCGGAGGTTCGATGCCGTTGAATGGCGACGCGAAGGGAACTTCCAGGTCCGAGCTTTTTAATTCATATCTCATGCTAGGCTAGCTCATGCTAAACAGGAAGCTAAGCGGTGCGGACGTGACAGATGGGACAGTATCGTTATATTTGACTTGACCTCAATATATTTGAGTTTTAGTGTGTGATGTGTAACGTTGGAACACAGGCTGATCAGAGCAACACTAGTGAACTTTTTTTTTTTAAACGTGTTTTACTTGAATTTGTTTTGCTGTCGTGTAGCTGTTAGCTGGAAAGTTCCTGAACGTGTCTGTCGATGGCTTTGACTGATTCCACATGTGTGTGCACATTCTAACAAAAGCCTGAATCCTCATGACAGTCGTTGACACCTTTCTGTGAGTCACATTTTGTCTACGTAAACTCTGAACAGGCTGAAGTAACGTAGTAAACTGATGACCTGTTGTGTTGGCTCTGTATTGACACAGACTGCTGCTGCTGCTGCTGCCAGAATAAACCGAGGGAACAATGGTGAAATACTTCTCCTGCGCAGGTTTACTCAAAAATACCTGGGACCAAGTCTGTATCGCCTTCTGGCAGCGATATCCCAACCCCTACAGGTGTGTGTGCAGCGTGTTGGCTCTCATTGTGTCTGTGGAAAGTGTGGCTGCACTCACTTGTTTCAATTCTATGCTGTACCTCAGAAAGTACCACTGTAGTTCAGATGCACATATTGTTCTTTTTATTACATTTAATTGTCAATAGCTTATTTTGTAGTGTACCATTTCACACACTTAAAGGTTCAGTGTGGAAGATTTAGGTGAAAGGGGTCTAAGGGCAGATATTAAATAGTCCTACACATGTTTTCACTCATGTGTAATCATGCAAATTGTACGAATTGTTTTCTTTATCCTAGAATGGGCCCTTTATATTCAAATACTGCAGGTCCTCTCTACAGAGGCTGCCATGTTTTTTGCAGTAGACCAAACTGGACGAACTAAACACCTTTTGAGTTTTTATGACAACAGAAGTTCTCCTTCATGTTTGGAAGGGGAGGGTGAAGTGAGGGGTATTCTGCTGCAACTTGCAACGTCACCACTAGATATCACTAAATTCTGCTCACTGAACCTTTAATTTATGAACTGATAATGTGACACTGTAACAGAGAAAACTTGAAGCTTCTTTACCTCCACTAGCTAACACCCTAACACTGTTTTTTGTTTGTTCTTTGGTTATTTGAAACTAAATATCTTTGTTTTGGACTTTTATTAGACAAAATCAATTTTAAGACTTTAGTATTCAACAAAGAAATTTAGAATATCAATAATAATTAGTTGCACCCCTACATGTCTTAATCCATACCATTTCCTTCTCTCCCACAGTAACCATGTTTTGACTGAAGACATAATATTCAGAGAGGTTACTCCATCCAACTGCCTGATTTCCAGACGTCTGTTGACCAAAGTCAGTCGAGCGCCTCGCTGGATGGAACGGTACCTCCCAAAGCACATGGCCAGCTCAGCGTACATCATCGAGGACTCCATCGTGGACCCTCACAAAAGGACCATGACCACACTCACATGGAACATCAGCCACGCTCGCCTCATGGTAACCTGGTGCTTGAACTTACATGTGCATAGTGTCACATATAGTCGTAGCACGGCCTCACGTTGTCCTTGTTTGTTTGTTTTCTCTCTGCCCCAGTCTGTAGAAGAGCGGTGCGAGTATCGAATTAACCCTGACAACAGCGGCTGGACACAGTTGAATAGAGAAGCTTGGATCTCCTCCAATGTCTATGGGCTTTCTAGAGCTGTTCAGGTCAGTAGAGTAAAGTGGAGCTCAGCGCTACGTAACGGCACAGAACAGTGGAGTCTGACAAGAAGACTCAACCACTGATCTGTCATTTAGAATCTGTAGCATAATATTCTGTGTTAAGATGCAACAGCTGAGTTATCTGAGTGATTTATTAAATGTTTTCCAGCGCTGAGAGTGCACATAAATAAACATGGGATGTGAGTTACAGATTGCAGACACATTAATCTCCAAGAGCTATTTTCTGTCTTGGTTGATGTGTGTCTTCTCTTTCCAGGAATTTGGCCTCGCAAGGTTCAAGACCAGTGTTACTAAGACCATGAAGGGGTTTGAATATGTACTGTCCAGAATGCAAGGTAAGTTCTCATTCATTTACCAGCTTATTCATCTCTATTGACATTTACATGTTGATCTGATGTAGTTAAAATGTGAATGTGGTATAACTAGTAACAAATATAATTGGTGCATTGCACTTATGGCTAGAATTTGCTATGAAAAGGAAACAAGGGCTCTGATGGTAGATAGGCTGTAAACATTCAGGTCAGCAGATTTAAAGTACAAGATGAACTGATGGTTGACATCTTACACATCAGTCAAATCTAAAATATGACGCATGATGTTCTCGAGTTCACTCTGTTTAACACAAGACCTCTTTGTTCTTTGTGTGTGGAAAACTTGGGCAGCAGCTTCTAAAGAAGGGTGTGGCAAAAAAAGGAGAGAAACCATTGCTCTCGAGATTATTTTCTAAGTTTTGTTTATATCAGCTTTTTCAGCTTGTAAGTGTTGCCTCTCTTACAACTTCATAGAAAGTTAAAGTATTTGTCTGCCACCACCTGAAACTGCAGTGGCCGACTTAAGTGTGTTTTTAGAGCTGAACTCTGGAAAATTGGGACTGGATATTTTCCTGTTTGTCTTTCACATATTCCGAATGCAGCCAGTTATTTTCCAGGTCAGACACTTTCACAACAACAGACAAATATCTGG